TAAACACACTGCGGGATGCACCACTACCACCACCACCACACCACCACCACCATCACCGCCACTTACCACTACCAGAGCTGCACCGGTGTGTACGTACGATCAACGCCCCGCGCCACCCACCACCTTACCGTCCAAGGGAGAGAACGTCTCCCCCGTGTTTCCTGTCTCCCGGCCTCGTCGTACTTCCGCCTGGTTGCCTCCTCTCTCTCTCTCGCTCTCCGCGCCGGAGCTCTAATTGTCTATCAATCTATCTATTTATCTATCTCGCCTCCTCCGCACTTTTTCCCTTTCTCTCGCTCTACGTCTATCACCGTTATCCGTTACACCGCCGACCCTCTCGCCCGTCCGCGTGACGATGACTCACACTCACCGACACGGCGACGCTGCCTCCCTCGGCCTCCTAGACACTACGGTTGAGCGGACCGGCACCCCGACCAGTCCTCGCGCGACGACACCACCGCCGCGAGGAAGAGGCAAACGGAGAACGCACGGCCCGAGAAGGATGCTGGAAGCGCCGCGCACGACAATCGGAGAGAAGGTCGTGGGCGGCGGCGACGGCGACGACGGGATACGGGGACGGCGGGGCCGGGGTTACGTGGCCCCCGCGGTAGAGAGAGGCGGGGAGACGGTCCCGGGGGGAAAGCTGGGATGAGGCAACGGTATCCACCCTCTTCTCAACGAGGGGGAGAGGGAGAGGGAAGGAAAGAGAGAAAGAGAAAAAGAAAGAGAGCAAGAGAAATGGGATAGAGAGAGGGAGAGATTCTCGCGAAACCCACCGGGCCAAGACGCGACGAAGCACCCGGAGAAAACTACCCGGGTGCCACTCCCGAAGGCACCCCCGTCGCAGTTGTCGCTGCTGCCGCTGCCGATGCCGCTGCTGATGCCGCTGCCCTCGTCGCTCGCTGACACTCGCTCTCCCCCTCGCTGCCGTGGCTGGCGACGAGGCCCCCCGAGCGATCGGCACCCCCGTGCGATCACGCTTCCGGTCTTTCGCGGGAAATCCTCGCGGACGACGTAGCCATGGATACTGCAGGATCCGGCAGGGAGAGGCGACTGCCCCGTCGCGCGCGCACCCCGTTCCCTCCCCCGCCGCCGTCGCCGCCGCCTCCCTAGGAGCGCGCTCCCCTCCCCCTCCCGGCCCCGCCGCGATGCGCGCCCCCACGGCCGAAAATGTCAATATCCTCTCTCGCGCTGCGCCCGCGACGCGCGCCCCCCCCCCCCTCCCTCCTCGCACCGATGCGCCCCGCCGTACGCGCCCTCCCGTGTGCCGCTCCCGTGTCGCCCTCCTCCTCCTCGCCCCGCCAGCCCCCCCTTTCCGCGACTCTGTCTCTCGACTCGCTCTCCCTCTTTCTCTCCGTTCTCCTTTGCCGTGCTGCCCCGCGGCGATTCCGTCTCTTTCTCCCCCCCTCTCTCTCCCGCCCTCTGGCTTTCGCGCGCGCGCGCACGTCGTCGAGCCATCCCTTACCGACTCAGGGGCGAAACTGCAGGCGCGAGGGCCCCTTCAAGCTTCGCCGCTGTGTGGAAAGGAACTAAATAACGAGGGAGGCGGAGCGGTAGCGACAAGATATTTTGTCACGTCTCGACGTTCGTTATTAATTAGGGACGCACGTTGATTTATGGGGATTCGTATATAGCTTACCGGGCGTCTCTGCCTCGCGCGCATTACCGCAGCAGCCACGCTTAAACACGACCCTGCGACTAGCGCCCTTTCGCATCACCGCCCTCGCTCGCTCGGTCTGTTTCCCTCAGCCGTGTCGGAGATCTCGGCGGAGCGGCCTTTTCCGTTTTTTCCCCTCGAGGCGAGAAAACGGGTCACGACGAAAGGGTGGCTTTTCTCACTCGCCGGGGAAACTCGCTCTCTTCTCTCTCGTCTCGCCCCGTGGAGGCGCTTACGCGCGTCTCCTCGCCCCGAATCGCCGACGGGGCGCACATGGATCATCCCCCCGTCGATCGATCCCGCGCGCCCCCCGCTCGCCGGCGTTACCCGTCCTCGTCCTCTTCAAGCCCGGCGACGCTCGACGAGAGTAACCATAGCGATCGGCGATCGATGCGCACGCGCCGAAATTTCACTTCGCCGTCCAAATACCTGTACCCAGCGACTGGCGATCGACGATTAGTCCTTCGGCAATCGGCAATCGCCAATCCCGAAGTCCCGGTCCAGGTCGGTATTTCACGCGTTTGCACTCGGCGCGAATTTGGCGAACGCGCACCGAAGAAATTGTATTCTCATTTTGACAATGTTTCACTTACTTTGATAATATTTTACTCTAAAATGAGCGCTGGAAGGGTTGTCTTAATTTAAGAGAGGAATCTTCCAAACAGGATATTTCTATCGGACATTCTTATCAGATGTTCTTAATGTATAAGAACATACACTAAATGATACATTTCCCTAACAGATATTATTCATAACAAAAACAGTTCCACAAATAAACACTATTTCTTACAGTACATGTGAATACAGCATAGCTAAATAGATTTTGGTCGACGAGTTGTAGCTTTAGCTACTTGTTCAATCACTGGTCGATGCTTATCCTTATTTTCTGTACTCAGAAACCGACGAGAGACTCTTAACACGATTCGCGAGCAATTCTATTTTATATTTTAAATACTTGCTCATAAATATGTCCTTCAAATGGCTTAAATCTTCCCTTTCTAACCACTCGACCACTTCCGCGTCCATTTAAGTCAGGATAGCAAAGAGCAATTACAAACGCTACTCGAAACGTGATGGAGCAAGCTTGCATCGACACGTACCGCATATCGAAAGTTCCATCACTAAAGTTGTCGCGAATCAAGAATACATTCTTAATATTAAGAATATATTCTTAATTTAAGAAGATATTCCAAAAAAACGTGATGCCATGAAGAAGGAAATATTCTTCCATTAATTAAATCTATTAAGAGTATTTGTAAAGTACACATTCCAAGGATACAATTTTTTCGGTGCTCCTTTCCGAGCCACCGAACAAAAACACGCTGTACTTTCTGTACAACGAATGTCCTAATAAACTGTCCTAATAAATAGTTGGGTTTTTTCCTTCTCTTAGACTTCCCTTTCTCCCTTTTGCCTCCCCGTCGCGATAATCGCGTCAAACGAGAGTGGCAGTGGTAAGTCCGCGGCGAAAGCGCGCCACGTCCGACTAAAAGCGGACCTCTTCTACTCGTAGATCAGCCGAAATGTTTCTTGTTTCAAGAACTTTCGAGAACGACTCTTACAAGAGCAATGTTTATTCAGAGTGAAGCCCTGTTTGAAATAATAGATAGAATCCGATCTGATTACGTTAGATTACATCCAACTTCTGTGCAAATTAATAAGACTCTTATTTATTTACATTGAAATTGCATGCAATCTAAATGTAATCTGGTCAGATTCTATCTATTATTTTAAACAGGGAGAAGAACGCAAAGTATAGATTTATCTTGAATTATATAAATTATAATTATACAAACTTTAAATATCAGCTTGTCGATCGCATTTTGCATATTCGTATCGAAACGAAACTGCCGAGGAAAAGTTTTTAATTACTTAAGAACTGCCAGTTACCGGCCAGGGGCTCGATTCTTGAGTTCACTCGAAGGTGAAACGTTTGCGAAAATTCTGCTCCTACAGAAAAGTTGCAAGTCGATTGGCCGCTCGCGTGGGGTTTTCAACCAATTGACTTTCAACTTTTCTGCGAGGGCAGAATTTTCGCACACGTTTCTCTTTCGAGCGAATTCAAGAATCGAGTCCCATAACCGGCTCGTCGTAACCTAATAATAAACTAAAATTTGTTAAGTTAATTTTTACTTGAACGCGACAGACTGTATCCCTGGCGAAAATAATATGTTTACAAGAAGTTTGTGTAAATGTTGAGTCAATGTTTCATTTGAGTTCTACAACATTTATCAAATTTCTTATGAGATATAAATTTAAACATGGAGTCGTTCATGACACGTTCACGGTTACAAGCGTTCAAATTACGTTCAATGATACAATGTCAAACGTTTCCATTATAGTTTTCCAAGTGTTTGTGCTCAGCTTAATTCGTTCTTTGCCTCTTTCTAAAGTAACAGTCGGAAAGAGACAAAGAACGAATTAAACTAAGTTTGAAGTTGAGCGACGTTGGTGAAACCGGGTCTAAGTCGTCTTATTGAGGCCCTGCCCATCTCTAACCACGGCGTTATCAAAAACATTATCAAAATAATGCAAAATTCGGAAAAACAAAACGCAAAAGATGCCAAAAAGATAGCGCAAAATCTGAAGAAACAAAAGGAAGTGCCAAAAAAAAAACATCCAAGTGTCACACCTCTAGTTATTGTCAGTAAAGAATTAACCAGGTGTTTGCGACGTACTTTCGAACGGTGTAACCATCAGTAAAACTCTTCATGAACGATGCAACTATCGATAAAACTAAATGATGCTGAGTTACTCGTGACTTGTTATTGTTATTCTCTTTTAAGCCCGTATCAGACTACAGCTTGAGATTGAGATTAGATTGAAATTTGACCAATCGGAGTGAAGTTTAAAGTTTAGTGGCCTTTACTCTAATTGGTCAAATGTTAATCTAATCTCAATCTCAATGCGTAGTCTGATACGGGCTTTAAGAAGAACAGCAAAACGTCTATAAAATATAGAAGTCAGATCTGTTAATTGGCGCACTGCTCTCTCTCTCTCTCTCTCTTCTTCCTTAAAAAAAAAAGAGTCGAAATCATTGAATAAAGAACACATTCTTCATCAAAGTGTAAGGAAAGGCTGAAGCAGGCAGTTTTATTTTTGAACGCGAAGGTGAGAAAACAAGTCGGACAGGTCAGGCGCCTTTTAAATCGATCCGAGCGACACGTGGCGAGCCGTTTCGCGGCATCTCCTCGGCGAACGTGTAAATCACGATGATGCGCGGTTCTGCCTCGCCGCCTCGTTCTCTCTCTCTTTCTCTCGTCTACTCGCGCGTCTCCGAAAGACGCGTAAGAATTCGCCGCGCGGACGTGTTTGAAAGTCAAGCGTTAAAAATCAATTGACCCGAATCTAACGCTCGAGGTGGGGGGGGGGGGGAGAGACCTCGTGTTTACGCTCTTACAGCTGTGCTCCTAACCTCAAATATCTGCGTTTGACGCAGCAGCGCGAGACAGATGCTGCGAAGGGCGATCCCGGGATTAGGGCGCGCCGTTCGAACGGCGCACCCTCGCTCCCTGTCGAAGCTGTCGGTCGACCCGAGGGAGAACCCGGGCGACAGGATGCAGGCCTGGCAGATACATTCGTACAAAGGCCTGGACGACCTGAGGCTCTCGAGCGTCAGGATGCCGGTGATCACGAGTCCCACCGACGTCCTGGTGAAGATCGAGGCCGCCAGCGTGAATCCCATCGACGTCGCGATGACGGGTACCTACTCTCCGTTCCCGCTCGAATTGGTGCCACGCGACATTTGCGGTGGACACGTATGTGACCGCGAGTCAAGTCCACAGCTCTGTACGGTCGAAGCGTGTAATCAGCCCGCGCGAGTTTTGCATATTGCGATATACGTGTCGCGCGAGCACGCAAATTCATGCTAGAACGTTTCAACAAGAGTCCTTATTAATTCTTAACTCCCGTCGTATAAATTCTTAAACGTTACTTCTACTGATAAAGGACCAGTGCAATTCTGTAAAGTTTAAGAACTCCAGTAAAAAGGTACGTAATTTATTACAGATGGCTACGGCAACACGCTTCTGAACGTCATACGCAAGGCCAAAGGTTTGGCCATTGGTACCTGGAGCCAGTTGGAAGAATTGGATTTGCCGTTGACGTTAGGCAGGGACTTCGCAGGGGTGGTTGTGTCCAAGGGACACGACGTGGGGAGCAGGCTTGGGCTAGGCGAGGAAGTCTGGGGAGTAATCCCAATCGAACAGCAGGGTTGTCACGCCAATTACGTTGTGGTCGACGGTAGCCTAGTGAGACACATTTCACCGTTAATACATTGAACATTCGACGTGCCGATACATCGAGCGATACTTATCTCCTCTCGCCAGGTGAACCCGCGCCCTCGAAAATTGTCCCACATCGAGGCTGCGAGCATCCCGTACGCCGGACTGACCGCGTGGTCCGCGCTGTGGATCACGGGCGGGCTGTGCTACAAAACGGCGATAGTCACGAGGCTGAACAGACGCGTCCTGGTCATGGGAGGTTCGGGAGGGGTCGGCACTTTGGCCGTGCAGATGCTAAAAGCTTGGAACATGCATGTAAATATTTAATCGCGTATACAGAGTGAGGAAAAAGTACGGAAACTCCTACATTTTTCGAAAACTATGCATTTTGGAAGCAAACGTTTCAGACCAAAGTTTCTAAAATGCATAGTTTTGTGAAAAATTTAGGGGTTTCCTTTTCCTCACCCTGTATATGCATTAGAGTACACGAAGCGTATGTAATACACAAGGCATTGAATTTGTTTAGGTAATTAGCACGTGCAGCAGTGACGCCGTGGAGATGCTGCAGAATTTAGGTGCCGATACCGTCATTGATTACAAGCGGGATGGCGCCGACGCAGAAATTATCTCAGAGGGGCCGTAAGTGGCCACTGTCCTAAAATGCGTGGTATATAATAAATACAATGTATAAGTTACATGTACGATTATCGTAGCATTTGTGTGCAGGTACGACATGATATTGGATTGCGCGAATCAGGGGCCGGAGCACGTCAGAACGAGAGGATACCCGCACGATACTTACATAGCGTTGAACTCGCCGCTGCTAAAGAATTTTGACAATCATGGACTGATCATGGGAATGGCGCAGAATCTTGGGGATCTTCTCAAGTTTAATATTCCAAAGGTGGAAAACAGGAGCTGCGTTAAATGGGGATTTTTTATACCCTCTCAGACGGGGATTAGCGTTCTTCAAAAGTTTGTGGAGGACGAAAAGGTGCGTTCCTGAAGTGCCCGACGCGCCTTTCTTTTCGCTAAAGAATTCTGTAATTCGATATCCCGTTGCTATTTGCAGATTGTACCTGTCGTTCAGCAGGTATACCCTTTTCAAGATTTGCCGCTGGCATACGAGAGATTGAGGCAAGGCCATTTAAGAGGCAAGGTAGTCATCGACATGAGATAGTAAACCGAGTTAAATATATTGTATGTATAAAGTTAATGTATTTTTTACAAATATTGATTTGTTAATAAATTAAAATATTCAGTATAACCTTTGCGATACTTACATTTTTTACATCCTCTGTATCATTACCATATAAGCCCTTTTCTCCAACTTCCTTCCAACAGCTGCGACCTTTTCTTCACCCGCTTTCAAAATTCCATAGGCCGGTTGATTGGAACGTGCGTTGTTCTAAAAGAAAAATCCTCGTATACTTCGTTGCAGTGTATAAAAATTATAGGATAAAATTTTTAATTTTAATAATATGCAGAAGACCAATTTAATAAATTCCAAAATAAACGTATATCTATTATGCAGGTTTTCTTCATTTATAAAATTCAAGATTACCTTCATGTAACCTTCAAACGACTATCCAAGGTCAAATTAATGACACCATCTTATGTCCCCCTTGAAACCATATAACTTTTGTCTCAAACATTTGTTTCTAAAGCGCACAGTTTTCGAAAAATTTAGGGATTTTCATACCTTTTCCTCACCCTGTATATGTATTTATTTCATTTTTGGTGTAGAAAGTACAATATAGAGCAGCCACGAAGATCGGAATTTATATCGCGTCCTAAAGATCATAATAAAGAAAACGAACAATAAACGAGAAGGAAAAAATATAACTCGTAAAATGCCCGATATATGAGCAAAAATCTAAGAGCAAGTCTTTCGTAGTAAATGTTATACACGTCGTAGATATATATGTATATAATAAATAATAAACTTATATATAATATATAATAAACTTACAGCATTTTTTCATCCAACATATACGAGACAATAACGATGTAGGACATTGAAGGAGCTGACGGATTAAGAAAAGTCCGATAAACGAAGTGTAAGGAGAAATTGTTAAGGAATTTCTAAGGAAATATTCCTGCAACTTGCCGTCTCAATAACAATTATTATTACTCGTTTCTTTATATCTAAAACATGATATTACATAATTTGTATAAGAAAACTCTCCTAATAACTAGAGAATCAATATTGGATAAAAATAAATAATTCAAGTAATAAATTGTAAATCCATTTGATTATAAATTAAAAAATTATTTATCTCTTAGAACACGAATAGTAAGATCATAATGCGTTAAAATTTCCAAATCACACAGGCAACAAATTGTATCAATCCATAAATAAAGTGATCAAATATTAATATATTTTATGGGTTATGCATTCCCTTATTGCATTCAGCAAGTTGCATCTGTCCCTCTCGTGCTCGATACCGATTTCTATCATATCTTTATCCGTAAGTGTTAAAAATAGGTCAAAGTCCACCTGGAATGAAACAAAGCGGATTATGTACATATAAAAATTATGGGAATCGAAATATAAGAACTGGCAATTAAATTGTTATAATTGTAAGTAATACCGTGTACTACTTTCCTTAACAACTCTAATGCACAAAAGAACATACTTCCTGCTCGAGAAATACAGAAATGTGTTTGCTCAGCCCGAAGCGTTTCAGCACCATGATCATTTTCGTCTGCGGCCAGTTGAGAAGTATACCCTTCGGCGGGGTCTTGCAACGCGGCGGCGTCGGCGTATTTTCACCAAACACGTACTCCTCGTTCACATCCGCGGACACGTGGGGCGATCTGACCGGGCTGAACTCGGGCGTGAACCCGAGAGTGACATTAAAATTGTACGAGAGATTGTTCACGTTACGATCATTCTTGTTCATGTTAAGATCCGTAGGTCGCGTCGACTGTAATCTGCAAGGGCAGCTTGCTTCATTAAATTTATTTTCAAACATTAAAATATTAAATGCAGAGGAAAGCACTCTATTACGAGATAGGAGTCTAACGTGAGATAATAGGTTTTCAACGTTCAAATTCAATCACAAATCTTCTTTCGCAACGATCACACGATCTAACAATCACTTTTCCACTCAACAGACTTCGCTCCAAGGGCAATAAATTCACGGTGGAACCAATAGACGATGCCTATTAATTCAGCAAAAACTCCGCTACCTCATATTAGGAACCTATCTCATAATAGGGGACTTTCCTCTATTACAATATTTAGATATTAAATGCACGCATCTGAGAAGTATAAGTTTTCATGGTCACTTATATTCGTTGTGAGAAATATAAATAATTATTAAACTTTGTCACTGTCTTTCTACCTTTGAAGTACAGCCGGAGACGAATCGGGCTGATCCTCGCCCGTCGCAGAGCGCCCTTTCAAATCACCTTTCGTTGGCCTCTCGTTCGCGTTTTCGTCTCGGGGAGGAACGTCCGATTTCTCTATAAGACTGTTCTTCTCAAAATCGGCGGCCTTCGGGAACATAAACGTATCGTACGTTAGGTTCGGTGATATTTGTTTGTCCGGTTCCCCGATTACGGACAACAGGTGCAGCTTGAGCTTCTCCCTTTTACTCTCGGCGTCATTTGAAGTAGGACGATCTTCCATCGTGCTCTCGATGTTGTCCTGTTCGCTCATCGCTTCGATGTTATCCGACGTATCGTTCCAATAGTCATCCGTGGCCAGTTCTTCGTTCGCCAGAGTGGCTATTTCCGGTACTGTGGACCGTTTCATCATGATGCGAGTGTATCCATCTACGCTCAATACATAGGTTTGTTAGACGCAGTTCCCTCAAACGGATCAACGACAGAGAAAAAGAGCAGGCATGAAAATTACAACCGACAAGAACAAATTGTGTCTTCTTTCATAATACGACGTTTCGTGAAACTTTTAGTTACAGTAGTGTAAAGAATATCCAGTTTTTGCATAACCGAATCGAGTCAATCGATAAACGTGATCGTAGATGTCGGCTCGTGAATTTTATAGAGAAAAATCTAACTGGCAGTCGACGATGGCATGCCTAATTCCAGTAGTCTCAGGAACAGCTCCTTGTCGTTCTTCATGGCAGCCACACACAGCGGAGTAATGTCATCGTTAGCTGTGTTCGCCAGTGCGTCTGGGCAGGCGTTGTACACCGTCTCGAACATCTCCCTGCTTATCGCAGCGGCTAATCCGAGGACTGACATACCTGCAGCAATTAAAAGAGGAAAGATTCGCCTTTTTTAAACAGCGCAGCGTCGCAGCATTGCCTTCACAATTCAGTTCATTGCTCAACTCGGCCGCAAAACAATACAGTTTCCAATCTGCACAAAGTGACTTCTATCGGCGAGAGCTTAAATTGTTTTACAATTGTCACTTGGTACCGAGAATTAACTCTGCGACCGTAAGTGGCTGTTTGCTCACCGAGATACGTCATTTGATTGACGTCGGCGTTTTTCTCTAAAAGCAACTTCACAGTGTCGACGTTCCTATTGCGAATCGCCTGCATCAGCGGCGTCCACCCAAATTTGTTCTTCCTGTCGACGACCCGGCGGTTCTCCTTCCGGTTCAAAATTTCCCTCGCGATCCCGAGGCAACCGTTCGCCGCGCTTACGTGCAGCAGATTCTCGTCGTAAATATTTACGGCGTTCAAGGTGTATCCTTGAAAAACATGTGCCGTTTTATTCGACGCGTTTTGAATTTAAACGGAGCGCACACAGCGCCGAGTCACAGCCAGAACGCAAACGGCTGTTTTACAGTCTTAAACATCCGTCACTAAATACAACAATTAAGCCTAATCTACAATGTGCCTTCTGCGTCTAGAAACATTCTAGTTTATGCAAGCAAATCAAAGCGCTTAAAAAATGTGTCGACGATGCACGATTATACAATGTATAATTTATCGATTTGCGCAAATTTCTTAACCGTACTTATTGGCTACAAAATAGAATGTTTCTAGACGCAGAGGGCACATTGTAGATTAGACTTTAACAACGCGTCTAATCGATCCGTAGAATCGAGAAGAGAGTCGTTACCTTGCCTCTGCATCGCGACGATCACCTGCGCCTCCACGATCTGTTTAGCGTGCGAGCCTGGCTTTAACATCCTTCCTCGATATCGTTTCCCTCTTGTAAAGTGCGTTAAAAAATTGCATTTACAACAATTGGATCAATAGCCGTCTCTCCCTCTAAGCGGAACTCGATTGAATCTCATTACTCCTTGTGTAATTGTCTGTACCGAAAACATTTACCGGTTATATTTATTTACGACAAACAGATTATTACAACACTTGTACGTACCAGAGGCAGTTCTGGACCTCGCTAACCTTCGCTAATCCTTCCCGTACAACACTGCGTCGATTCCTATTATAGTCCAAACACTGTCACGAAGCCCACGAGGGTCGCCGGTTGGCAAATGTTTTTCCGCTTTCCCAAGTTCGTAGCAGAAAGAAGCTCGAGAGATGCCACGCGTTTCTGGAGATAATTGATTCCGACATTATCGGCAAATACATTGTTGTCAGCCGTCGATACAACGAATATTCCACTTAGCTCACGATGATAAGAACGGAAATGATTTTACTGAAAAATCAAACGTCTCCGTCGCACTTCATGCGTATTCACATACGACGCGTCAGAATACGATAACGAGCCCTCGAATTGATCTTATATCGCGAACCAATCGTTTCGATCCCCCACTCGAGTTCCGCGGGGTATCTTCAGCAGCGTATCCCGTCGGCGAGAAGCGACTTGATAAGCATTCGCGGGCCTCGGATACGAGCGGAGGATTCAAAGTGAGACCCTGGAGTCGCCGGGCACCGAGCCACGCGGCCGTTTATTTTCAGACGGATGCATTAATTAGGAACGCGGTAATGAGATGCGTGACGTGACGGCCGGGGCCGGGCAGGGCGGCGCTCGGCGGTCCCTCTAGCGGCGTCTCTCCCAAGCGGGGAGGTCGGGTGTGCTGGCTCCGCGCTCCGGGGTATATGCTGCGTGTCGCGCCGCGTTGGGGTTAACTGCGATTCCGCCGTGCATCGCCGCCGAGGTGCGTCACGCTGACGTTCGCCGACGACGACGTCGACGACGACGGGGGCCGCGGGAGGCGGCGAGCGGCGCACCGGCCGCGGGCCCGAGCGCACGAGGTCGCGACGATCCTCCCTCCCTCGCCCCCGGGAGCACCGCGCGCGCCGTCCCGCCCTCCCCCCCCCGTCTATCCCGTGCGAATCGTTCGACCCGCTAGGAAAATTCGCGCCGTCGAGAGACGCGCGTCTCTGCCGCGGGCCCGCGGCAACTCGCTCCTCCAGGTCGTACGACGGCGCAGCTGCGCGGCTCGACCGGGCGCGCGGGGGGGGAGGCATATGTCCCTCGAGCACGTCGCGCGACGTGACACTTGTTTGCATCTCGTTGAGACTCGCGCGGACGTGGCTCCGCGGGCCTGAGATGTTTACGTTTTCCACGTCGGATTAGAAGCCTCCTGGAGCCCCGCGGACCGAGACAATCCCGTTGATACCTGTTCTCATTTGCAGGAGGAGGAAGATCTTACGATGTTTCGTTTCTGAAAATAAAAGAGCAGAGACGATGACCGGAGACAGGCTGCGATCGCTGTGGTAGAATTTTATCATCGGGACTGAGGTACGTTTGTTTGACGAGACTTTTCGATCGTGAAGAACCGAAAGTGTACTTACTTTGCAGATCTGCCTTTTCCTCCATTATGCTGGCCCCGAGAGCGTCCGCTTTATTTGGAAACCGCTCAAGCTCGACAGAGATCGTGTCCATCGATCGCGCACGAATCCCCGATATATTTTTCGCAAAGGCATGAATACGAAATGGTGATAGATTAGTGATGTGCCTTTATCGTCGGTGTTTCAATTTTACTGCGACAGTAAGTCCGACGCTACACAAAGGATTCGGCTACTTAATCTCGATCAAGTCATTGAATTCTATAATTGTTGGTGATAAAGTTGACGGTCCTTTTTCTCTTTTGTAGGAAATGTCTTGACACATCTTGAGGAAAAGAGTGTATGTGATAAATATAAGTCTCTCGACGGCGCAGCCCGTACATACCGAAAGATGGACAGCTCCGAGTACGAAATGGTGAGAAACCTGACTCTCCTCTTCTTCTTCGAGCGTCTGATGGACAAGGGCGGCCCGCGTACGCTGCACGACCTAAGCTGCCAGTTCGGGGCTAAGGGATTCACGAAGGAGATGCGCCAGATAGCGGGGGGATCGCAAAGTGGCCTTAAGAAATTTCTGGCGCAGTACCCGGCGCTCTTTCTGATCGACGGCGAGTACGTGTCCGTCAATACGTTTCAGCCGGTCGTGGAGGAGGAGAGCGGGAACAAGTCGGGTAAGCGCGACTACGCCCGCGAGGCCGTGGAATACTTCACGAACAAGCTGCTGCAATACGGGGTGGGCACCGAGGTGCCTATCAAGAGCCTGCTGGGCCATCGGTCGCAAGCCTCGCCGGAGGTCAGGCATATATCCGGTCAGCACTACAAGGAGTTCCGTGATTTTCTCTCGAGGTACACGGACGCGTTCGTGGTCAGCGAGGATAACGTGATACTGAAACAGTACGAGGGCATGAAGCCGGAGCCGTTTCGCGAGCTGGAGCCCGATATCCCGATAGACCCGGACGTCACGGCGAAGCTGTTGGACTTCTTCTGCGTGTGCATCGAGCAGAAGGGCCCGGTTCTCATAGATCAGTTGTTCAGCACGGTCAATGAGAAGTTCACCCACGAGAGCTGGACGAGTATATTCAAGACGCCGCAGGATCTGTCCACTTTTATAAAAATGTTCCCAGACGCCTTCCACGTGCAGACCAATCTGGTGACGTTGATAGGCCGGCCCAAGTCCTCCGTGATGGAGCCCGCGGTCGCGAAGACGAAGGCCGCGGGCGGCAATCAGCGCGGTCAGAGCAACAACGTGGCGAACAACGCGTTGCCGATCGTCCCGCCGAGCAGGATCCAACTCTCCCAGCCGCCTTCGGATCGACTGGAGAACGTTTCTAACAACGTCGCGGCTCAGTCCAACTCGCTGCAGAACGCGTCGCCTGCTGTCGAGAACAATAATAATTCACCGCCCGTGAGTTTGCAGCAGCAGTCCCTGAAGCAGAGATTCAATACAATTGTCATGAGGACCCTGGCGGACAACACTGAGCGGGACCGTAGTCTACAAACCGCCCAGATGGGCGACACGTGGAAGATGAAGGTGATGCTGCAGACCAGGATAATAGCGACCACGCGGGAGAGTCTTCAGGTCGTGGAGGATATAATAAATCCGCGAAAGCCGCCCCCGGACGGCAAGGTGGTTGTCTCTTTCGATTGCGAGGGCATCAATCTTGGTGTCAAGGGGCAGCTGACTCTTGTACAAATCGGCACGATGAGCGGCCAGGCGTATGTGTTCGATTTGATCATGTGCCCGAGCCTCATTCAAGCTGGTGGTCTCCAGAAGCTGCTGGAGCATCCTAATGTTGTTAAGGTAAAAATACTATATGCACTATGCATAATTACTTGGCCAAGGTAGGCAACCGCTTTTGTGCCTGTAAACCTTGTGTTGCATTTTTTGCAGGTGATTCACGATTGTAGAAACGACAGTGTCAATCTGTACAATCAGTTTAAGATTACGTTAACGAATGTTTTTGACACGCAGGTATTTAATGCCCTTTGCTCTTTTTATATTGAAACAATGTATTATTACATTTGTACGGGATGGTAATATCTTTCGTAGGCTGCGCACGCAGTGCTGCAATTTCAAGAGACAGGGAAGCCTGTGTACAAAGTTAAGAACGTTAATCTCAACACTTTGTGCGATCATTATGGGGCTCCGTGTAATCCGCTGAAAGAACAATTGAAAAACATTTACCGTAAGGATCAACGTTATTGGTCACGGCGACCCATGACTCGCGACATGCTAATTTACGCGAGCAGTGATGTTTTGAGTCTTGTACCTCAAGTTTATAACGCCATGTCTAGGTACAGTTTTATTCGCTACTTTCTTCTGAATAATGGATTCTCACGAATAAAGGGCCAGTGCAAACTAATAACAGTTTTTGTATATTATTGACAGACTTATAAAGCCGGAAGTACAAGATCTTTTTGCAGAGCTGTGCGAAGAACAGATTCAAATGCACATAAGACCGTCGGAAGTAAAAGCACGTAAGAAGCAGCGAAAGGTCGAGACCGAGGTGGCGGATCTGAAAAAGCGAATGGAAGAAGCGACGAATAAAAATATTGTACTGAGCAATCGCGAAATTCGGCTTCTTCGCTACTTGGATCTTACCGAGGACGAGAAGGAAAAACTCAAAGGCAGCTATAAAGTTGCTAGAAAATTGGAAAAGCTAGAGAATATGGGCCAGGATAAGGCTGATAGCAGCGACGACGACGACGAGGATAAAACGGACGATCATGAGTATCAGAGCTTGGAAAGCTATACATCGGAAAATTCTCACTCTGGTAAAATATCAAAATGACAATTTGTCTTTCAGAGTACACAAGTTAGGATATAAAATTATAAAAGATTTAAGACGATACATGTTTAAAGTATTTTAAAAACATCGAAATTATTAAAATGTGCAAAAATATAGGTCTACCTCGCTGATGAGTTTTAGCAATTTGATCTAATTATACGATGAGTATAATTTGACGATCTGAAAATCAATTTTCAGGCGGCATATTGTCACCACGGAACGCCGATACTCCAAGTCTGACCGAGTCGATGCAAATGATGGACGAAATACTCTCGGACGGTCGGATGGACAAACTGGAGAAAATTGAGAAACTGGAAGCCATACTATCGGCTGTTACTAGCTCCGCGACCGACCAGCTTTCCGCCAACAATGCGGACGCGTCGCCTATCAAATGCGTCTGCATGTGTCAAGACGATAAGACCGACAATCCGCGGGCGGATCGCCCGGCCGCCGGAATTAGTGTGGCTTGTCAAACGCTTAGCACAGGTGATATAGTATTTACTAGAGTTTTTGTCAGCGAGGAGGAAAAAGAGAGAGTAAGATTATTGAATTCGCCAAAAAAGTAGGTATTACAGCTGCTGTGAAAGTAGAAAAGTTGCCATTTATAGGTTTTTTTATCAAACGGAACGATTGCATAAAAGAATTAAGTAGTTGAAATTTATCTATTTTATGTAATATATATAACAAGAGATTCATAGAGCAGAACTGGCGAAACTCACACAATGTTTTCCGACGTGTCTGCTCCCTTAAAAAAGTGTCTTAAATGGATAGGCCTTGTTATACATGCCTTTCCAGATCTGTCGGTATAATGATCAGATTTTTGGAAAAAGGTTATTAATTTTAATATGACGATATCGTACGTTTATTATCTGCTTGAAGATTACCTTTCTTTTACGAGCGTTTAAGAAAGACCGAATCGTTTCAGTGACAAGATATAACCGCGAACAAGGTTTTAACAGCCGCAGATCTTGTGATTTTTAACATACTTCAATTTGCGGCGTTTTACATTTGACTCGGGACTAAACTGCTGAAAGTTCTTTTAAAATGTTTCTTTAGAAAAAAAATATATATACATATGTACAAATATCAACAGAAGAATCATACTGTTTATATAAGGGTAACGATTGCTGACGCTTTTATTAGCGTTGCAAAGTTAACAAAATGCATATCTCACGCTTGCGAAATATTTTTTATGTGAAGTACTGCATTAAAATCGCTAATTTTTAAGTCTCATATGGCCTAGTTTGCGTCACTTATCAGAAAGGACGAATTGTTGGCAGTGATAGAAGCATAGCAGCGGTTGTTTAACAGACAAATGCTTTCTCTCCAAGATTTAAGCCTACGCACGCGAAAGAAACTTATGCAAACCTCTTCCTTACATCGATTACAAATATAACTTATTTTCGTATATAGCTATACAAGTGCCAATTTAATATAGAATATACAATAAACGGGTTAATACATTTTATATTTGTATTTAATTACGTGCTTGGTGAATAATTATGCTCGCACTTCCAATGAATGAATTAATAATCTGATAGTATTAAATAAGACAAACGCATTATTCGTGTTGCATAGATCTGCATTTATACACACTTCTAATAACATATCATTAAATAAGCAAACTGCCAGCGAGAGAAGTGACGATTTCGAGAGATTTAAATAAGTCATTGTCATCGTAAATTACCAGTGTTTTTAGTGCAATACTTTACACATTGATAATATACATTTAACATCGATCGCGTAATCCATCATTTAACAATTAAAAGCATACTATGAAGATATATAGCCGAAAGACAAAGTTATGTAAGCGAATCATTGACACGTTCTCATTTATCGATCGAGAGGCTCAACTAGTATCAAATTGTTCGACTATCTCGTGTATGTATACTACAATATATAAAGTATACTAGAAACTACTATAGTATATCTACGTTTCTTTGATCTAATCAAAACGCCGACTACTAGCAATATTTTTTATAAAATTCTTGAGAATGTGAGACAAGTACATCGGGTTTCTCTAGTATTTTAATGTAGATGTTTGATTATTATATTTCGTTATATAATTGGAAGGGAAACTAATAAGTGGATAATACTTATGTGGGAGTAATCCTTGTTGAAGTATGCGTAAACTGCGTTGTTACTAGAAAGTGCAATTTAGTTCATCGCAGAAATACATTTGGTACTCGAATTATTATTCTGGCAGCTGCGTGCATTACTTTGTATCATTTTGCACGCGTGTGTTTGCTAATTGCGAATAATTCTCGATATACAAAAATATCTGGAGAGATACTCGCGCTCTATACACAAATTATATTTAAGACGAAAATTCGACGAGAATATAAATCTCTTGTAAGAATGTAAAACAATCATACATCCTCAGGCTTGGATTTAATTTTAATTATGTTAAGGCCTCTTTTAAATGCCTTTTAAATTCTCGTAATACATATTTGTAATACAAATTTTTATAAATATATAATATAAATTATATATTTATAAATTTTACACGTATACAAATTTTCTGTATATTGATAATCAGTCATATTTTTTATCCCTTGCACTCATATATTGACTTGGGGATAATCTCCTTGACTTGGGATTATTGCGAATTTTAACTAAATTAATTCTTGTTGACATTAATTATTAATAACTTGTTAACCGTGAATTCAATAAACATGAAGGAGAAGGATTATATATACTTTTGGGTAATCAATTACAAAACGCAATCCACTTTAAGATTGTGCTCAGGATTGACACAAGAATTGTACAGTATTTGCTTGATGATAATATAATTTGCAGATTATTGATTGCATTGCTATTTGGTTCACCCTGATTTTCAGAAAAGAAAACGTCTTAATGCCATTCTTTATTTATTAACATACATTTTCTTTTCTTATTATTTGGGTGATTTGATTTTTATCAGCGATATTTTAAGGATGAAGTAAAAAAAGTACCATCTAAATTATTTTATAATGCATTTATATCAAGTCATAATAGTAATTATACTAAAAAAACAAGGAACGTCACGCAAATATTTATACGAAAGAATGCTGATTCATGTAATTAACAATGACTAATTCGATGCGTACAGATGCGAAGTAAAGTCTAAAACGAATATACGTAATAAAGAATATTAAAAAAGATTAATATGTGCATTTATTTCATTATACGCAGTTCCGACTATTTAGCATTTTTGCTAAATAGATATTACTTTTATACCTAACTGCATCTATATTTCATTATACATGTTTCCAAAAAGAGAAAAAGAACGACAATTTTTTTCTAATGCTGAAAATTGTTATCTACAGAAAATGTTATTTCATATTATTTCAGAAATATGAATAGTCTGCAAATAAAAGCACTAAATTTTTCTATATTTTTGTATCCTATATACGAATAAAAATATAGTATACCTGAATTTTTAGTGTTTATCTACAAGCTACAATACATTTATACATATAACCCTCAGTTATATTTCGAAGTTGTTTGAATATCTTCTAAAATCATATATGATTTTATAATTGATGTCATTTTCAGTAGATGTATGTCAAAATGACTATATTTGTAAACCAAAAAATTATTTAAGACGTAGTACAATCTTTTGGAATACAGTAAGGTTTACATATGGTATAATATATGTTTCCCTTGAATCGCCTTTCGAGAAAATCCTTCCCGCATAGTCTGTATACCTTGCTGAGCATAATTTATATTCCAACATATTTGTGTTTTCATGTGACAACATATTTATAACGCCTGGAGGTATACCACATTTTGAAAACATATCACAATATGGTGTCAGATTACAGAAATTTGCATCAAACATCACAATGACAGAGTTGCCAGCAATTAAAGTCTGCATTAACCGAAAAAACAGAACGCTTTCCTTTTCCTCCCTAAGAATGATAACACCTACTGGTTTACAAATTTCCCATACTTCTACCGTTCCATTTTCACTAAGAGATCCCTGTACAGTGGGAAATAGGTATGGGAATTTTAACCATCTTGCTGCAATAGCTGCCAATACAATTTTGCTAGAAAGGAAAGACAAAAAGATATATAGCTATGAAAAAGCTGCATTCAGACTAAAAAAAGTACGCACAAGATGTTATACAAAAACATATATAAAAACTTTTTGACAACTTAACATACCCATTAAGTTTTAACTTGGACTCAAGTTTTGCTAACATCTGTATTCTGGTCTCAACAGACATGACACCCCAAGTTATGAATCCTTTCTCAGCCGACTCGTAACATCTTATGATATCGCCGCTATAATAACGATACAATAATTAATTAAAATTTAAAAAATGCAGATAATATATATAAGGCAATATATGCATTCATACTTTGTTGCATTAGCCCATAGATTGTCATTATGTTTCCAATACATGCCCTCCACAGGTTTTTGCCACGTACCATTATAAAACAGATTATAAACTGAGGTATAATTCATTTTAGCAATATGTGAAAAATGTATTACATTCACACTCTGTTCTGTATCAATTAAATCTGATTTTTTTTCGCGAATCTCACGCAAGGTTCGTTGAGTTCTTGCTTGCTCAATTATTTCCATGTAAGGTAAAAGTATACAATTATCGGAGAAATCCATATATGTATTTATGAATACTATGTGACTCTGAAAGACGAAGAAATAGAAAAATTATTTTAACGAAGCTTATGATAATTCTTGGCGTTACATTATATAGTATGAATAACGTACGTTTAAGGACGACGCTAAGTTCCTCGCTGTTACAATATCTTCGGACCATATAGATACTATACTTATAGTGGGATTATCGCATACATGAGGTTGAATATCTTTCAATGATTGGAATGTATCAATAGTGAATAAGACTGAATGTCTCTTCATAATCCATAAAAATTTCTCTTTCACTTGATCTTGCACCCATATTTTATTTAGAGAATAATTGTCTGTTAATTTTAAAAAATTAACAGCTGCATACAAGTCCGAATCCTCAAGAATTATCATTTCTTTTCCTGTACAAATGTGCTCTGCATGAATACTGGTGCGAAAGTTCTTAATTATAGAAAAACGCATTTTTATGAATAACACATTATAATTTATGAACAATTTTTGTTACCTAAACCAATTAAACTTAACCAAGATTTTATTTTTGCATGAACGCTTTCAATTGTCGCGAAGGAAGAATTTGCGCTAGAATAATACAGAAAATGTCGAATATTATAAAAGTTTATAAAACATCAATTATTAATATTAAAAGTTTCCAACTTAGAAGTATAAAAATGAGCATTTTTTTAATAATTAAAAACTTTTACATAGATTTACTACATCGGATATAGCAAAAATGATCGTATTGCAAATTCTTTACATATATTAAAGAACGTAAGCAGTACATTGAAGGCTGTCTGGAACGTTACATCTAGAAAACAAAATGAAAGTAGAATTAAGATATGCAAGAAGATATATTACAATTGCAAGAATAATATTACTTGTACCTTTGTCACGCTTCATTTTTGTAGCATAAATGGTTAGATACTGTACAATGGTATCGATTATATCTACATGTTTAGAAATAGATTTGAAAATCGATATGTTTTCTTTAATTATATTTGCCATTTCCTCCATTCTGTACATGCAAAAAGAGAATATTAAAAATAACAAAAATGAAAAGTAACTTCTATTTAAAATAAATTTCTTTACCTCGTCGAATAATGAACCTTTTCATGAAACCTTACTGTTTTTGATAGTTTATATATTCTATCGAATGCCATCTAAAGATTCACATAAGGAGCAATGTTACAAAAAAGAACAACAGATTAACGTTCTATCTAATATTAGTATTAAATTTTATAACTTCTCCATAGCAACACGCATTGTTATATGCTTATCAATACTCACATTTTTGTTGTTATAGTAGTCTAGATTAGCATAATACTCATTTATAACTTCCACTCGTTCCATAATTGCTAGTTCGACTCAACAGTAGATATTTAAAAGGAAATTAAAGTTGCAATCGGTCTTTATCTTTGCGGAATATTCACAAGAAAGAATCAAAAGGACTAATACTTTACTGTCAAATTAAGGTCACATAAGACCTAAGAAGTGGGGATACTGTGAACAAATCACACATTGTTTATATTCACATTTATGTGTGTAGAAATGAAAACTTTCGCTATCTCTAAATCAAGTTTCTCGAGGAGCGATTCTGCACTTCTCTCGCTGCTGTGTCTCGTTCCTTGAATCCTTCATTTGTGAAATAAGATGTTTATTAATAAACAAATCTTGATTTCTTTTGTCAGATCTGAAAACTGTCACTGACAGCTACGAATGTTACTGTATGTCGCAGCTCGAAATACGGAAGTGAGGAAGTAAATCTAAGGGGGTGCATGGCGATATATGATTGATCTAACTGGATTGACAAAACGCTACAAAATTTTTGAACGGTATTTATTAACATATGTTTTTCTTGAATTACCTAATTCGAGTTTTACCACCAATCTCTCTGGGATCTAGAACTGGACTAGAAAGGTATTGTTAAAATTATTTTACAACGCATTTGTATGAAGTCATAATTATAACTATACTACAAGGAAAAACAAGGAACGTAAAAGTACAGGAGAGGATGCATATAACTTTTATAATTAATAATGATAAATTCATTGCATGTGGTCGCAAAGTAAAGTCCACACTGAATATACATACAAGTAATAAAGAGTATTATAAAAAGTTAATAAGTTTATTTACTGGCTTACATAAGTATTCATAACTAACTATTTAGCTAAACGTTTGTACACTTTATTCTTACATAAAGTTCTCCAAAAAAAGGAAAAAATCAAAACGTTTTTCCTTTCGATTCATGAAAATAAATATGTACAGGAAATGTTGCATATCATTCTAGAAATATAGTCTAGAGATAAAAGTTAATAACTAAATTTAGAAATATTGTTGTCACCTCACCATTAAATTTTACAAATCCCTCTATGCTATATGTACAAATAAAACTATACGACTACAAAACATTGCATGAATTTTTATAGTGTCTATCCACAAGCTGTAATATACTTATCAAATCATCATATTTCGAATAATTGAAAGGCACTTCTAAATTCATCTAGATCATATTAAAATAAATATATCAAATTAATTATAGTTGTGAACATACTTCTACAAAAATACTGTGTCATACATTATTAAAATTATTTAAGACGAATTATAATCTGTTGGGGCATAGTAAGTTGTTTATGTTGTTCAATATATGTTTCCTTTCGGTTGTTTTTGAAGAAAATCCCTTCTGCATAGTCTGCATATGTTGTAGTGCATAATTTCAATTCCAACCTACTTACGTTTTCATGTGACAACAAATTTATAACGCCTGGAGGTATGCCACATGTTGAAAACATATTACAATATGGTGTCAGAGCACAGAAATTTGCATCAAAAATTACAATGACAGAGTTGCCAGCAATTAAAGTTTGCATTAATCGTAAAAATAAAACATTTTCATTTTTCTCCTTAATAATGATAATCCCTAACGACTTACAAAGCGTTATCACTTCTATCGTTCCACTAGAACTATGCAATGATTTGTAGCAATGATTGTAGCGATGATTTTCGCATTTTCTATACCAAGTTTTTCAAGGAGTAATATTAACATATGTGTTCTTCTAGTTGCTGCGTCTCGTTCCTCCTTCTGAAATATTTTAATATCTTTCACTATGCATATATGCAACATTTAATTTGTGAGTACTTGTAATTTAGCCAACTACATGCTTTTAACTAAACCTGCGCATTGATATTTATTCTATTATTGACATTTAAGCGTCTATTAATATTGCGTAAACTTTACGTTATAATAATAAATTTGTATTCTTGTAAAATGTAAACTACATAGTTTCAAGTTTTTGCATTTTTCAATGCAACGTTGTTCTGCTGACCTTCTCACATTTACTCGTAGAATGAATAATATTATATGTAATAATACTAATTACCGCAATGACACGTTTAAATATTTAAGTGTACTTCGTAATATGTACAGTGACATTGCACATCAATTACCATGAATATGTACATACACATACGTGCATAGTATCAGTAGTTTTGAAATTGCGGTGTTTCTTCACTGCTGCTAGTTTTAATCAGGCAACCATAGAAGTATATACGCTAAAGTGAATCTACGGCTAAACTAAAATATAACGATTATACTTCAGAAATAATGGCTAGTAAGTTATAAAATATAAACAATATTATATATTTTACAGATAAAAAATTTCTTTTAGAAGAGATACAAAAATTCCTTATTGTTAATCTTCAAGATTATGTTATATAGTTTTTACAGATTTCACGAAGTGGCTATTGTTCTCATCGCCAACGCTAGTTATTTCCACCTCGCTAGTTTATCTATATTTCGTCTATTTTGCTGGTCCGCAATTTATGAAAAACAGAAAACCGTATTCGTTAAAACAGTTTATACGGTGCTACAATCTTTTTCAAATTGTTGCAAATTTTTTGATAGTGTTTAATATCATGACAAAGGGTAGACCGTTCGTCGCTTTGTGGAAATATTGTGAGCCATTTGATAAAATTTGCGATCGTTACACCGAAAAGGTATGTTAAACTTTTAAGTTGCCAAAAATAAAGAAAAACGCTTCAAATGTTTGGAAGTTAGATAATAAAAAATTATTACTCATACGACACGTAATAACATCGGTAAATTCAATATGCGAATATGAATAGATATAATTCTGCAAAAATGTTCTTACAGGAACTTGAAATTATATGCTGGGGACTAGTGCTTAAAGGTATTGATTTCACTGAAACCGTGATATTTGTATTAAGGAAAAAACATCGCCAGATCTCATTTTTACACACGTTCCATCATGTTTCTACGTTTATCGGTTTGTGGTTGGTCGTGAAATACTTCGCCCATAGTTTTCTTCTAACTCTAATAGCGCTCAATCCTTCTGTACACGTGATAATGTATTCCTACTATTTTCTGAGTACTTTTGGATCGAATATGCAACAAAAACTACTGCCGATCAAGAAATGGATTACTATTATACAAATGGTAAGCGTTGAATCTAATTTGTTGATATATTCGTTGATATTAAATATTGTTTTTATTAAAACAGATACAGATAGTATTCATAATGGTGGTCAGTTCGCAAGGTTTCATACCCAACTGTGGTAATATGAGTGTGAAATACTATTCTGTTTTCGCATTTTCGAGTGCATTAATGAACTTATTATTGTTTTATAATTTTTATAGTTCTCATTATAAAAAATCGAAAAATATCTGATTGTGAGGTACAATTTTGTTGAAAGTGCATTGTTGTTAGCTCGACAAAACACGTGTTTCTTCTATGTAATCAATTGAATCTGTATCTATTGTAATCAAATATTAAATTTGTGTTTGAGTGCGTATGTGTATGTGCTGCTATTATCTCATAATTTTGTCACTTTACCCACCGTTTATCGCACAACCAATCAATCCCCACGTAATGGTGGAGGCTCCCACATTCAGAGACTTGGTTCTTGAATCATTCAAAAGAGAAATGTATGCATGTCGATTGGCTAAAAGCCATGCAAATTTGCAACTCTTTAACTTTTTTTAAACGGTAAAGTATAAATGCCCAATTAGCCAAAGATATATACATATGAAGGTAAAGTTTAAATGCCCAATTAGCATAATAATCCAGATACCATGCATGTCTAAAAGACATCGTTAAGACGGCACTAAGTTGTCTCTTAAACATGTACGTCTAAAAGTATTTTTAAAGATATCTTTATGTGACGTTTTTTACACGTGCAGTCCTATTTGGGGATATAAAAATTTTGTTCTTAAACTTAAATCTCTCCGTTCTTTTTTGGATCTGTTGAAGATTCAGTATTATTCTAGCATAAAGAATAATAGTGAGCATCACACATATATTAAATTTCTTATTATCTTTCTTTCATTTGGCCGGAATAGCGAGCTTTCGATCTGTACACGTAAGCCATTTAATTTGTATTCAAGCCCGCTGTAGACGATTTTTCCTGCTGGATTGCTTGCAATTTAATAAATTACTATCATTGCACCACTCAGGATTTCACGTAATTTACTAAATCGCAAGCAATCCAGCAGGAAAAGTAGCATCGTCTGCAGCGGGCTTTACACGAATGTTTCCACGGAACAGACAGTTTTAAATTTAAGTGCAAGAGGTGCAAAAGTGCAGAATCACTGTGAACTAGTGCAGCCAGTTCAGCTGTAAAGAACAGACCCGATAACACATGCGTATTCGCCGGTGCGTCATGGACAGACACGCGGGTGTTTCCGCACAAATGTTACTTTACGCTCTTTACAGTTGCTTACAGTTAACAGATCTCCCCCGTGGAAATGCGATATGTTGAATGTTGCATTTCTTACGCGCGTAATAAAAATACACCTGTGCTTACGCGCGACACTCGCGAGGCATGACGAGTCGCGCGAGATAACCTTCGCACTTTGCGCGCATCACGTTCGAAAGAGGCGATCGCACTCGTTTCCACCCGGCGGTCCCTGGAGTGTGTTGTTTTTCGGCAACAATTCTCTGGAGAGCCTTCGGAGCTTGTACAATGAGTAGTTAGTAGCTTTACTGATTTCACCTTAATTTGTTTCATAGATAAACAAAATATTAGTCATGCCCGATTCATTTAGTTTTAACTAGGTAACTGAATACATGGCGAGGAAGTGCGTGTGTGCAGAGGTATGTAAGATACGCTTACGAGATCTTTCTTCCACAGCAAAGCCGAGAAACTTTGCCGGCTGGAAGTAGTCTCGGTGTGTAGCAAGAAGAATGATGTGATACAGTTTGCGAAGGAGAAGGGACTCGTTGTTAATGAATGGCCGCTCGCCAACAATCCACGGGACTTTCACATCGGGATAGTCGTTGGCTTCGGCCACCTGATACCGTTAGACATTATAAATTCTTTCCCGCTGTAAGTCGTGTTATTTACCTTCAACATGTTCAGTCTCTATAAAAATATATAGTGTTATAACGCGCAATTAATGCATACATCCTTTTGTCACAGCGGTATGTTGAACATTCACACTAGTCTGCTGCCACGATGGAGAGGAGCGGCTCCCGAAGCTTACGCCTTGATGAACGGAGACACTCAGACGGGAGTTACGCTTATGAAAGTGGCGAAAACGTAAAGTCTCTTTAAAAATTTGCTCCCTAAAATATGCTAAAGCTGAAAGGAAATGCCAGAGAATGTGTAACGGGTTTACATAGGTTTCTCTCCCTAAAAGAAAAGATTTAAAATACATACACATATATTTTGTATCTTTTTTTCCAATTTCTTTTATTCGATAAAGAAATATCAAGTGCCATTTATCCAAGTTTTATTGGTAAAGAGATAAATATAATCTTAATATTATCTGAACCATAGATTTAGATCGACAGACAGTTTTTCATTACCTCTATGTCATTGCAGGTTTGATACTGGAGATATAGTAACACAGGAGAAGATAGATATTCATGCAGATGAAACTCTACCGGAATTGAAGATGAAGTTAGCAGAGCTGGGTGCAAATGTTTTGATCGATGCGATGGGAAAATTGCCGCAAGTGTTATCTTCCTCGAGGCCTCAGGGAAAATTAGGCATAACTTATGGTAATTTGCCTTTGCCATTAAGATAGAACGATGTTTCGACTACTTAAATGATTTCATGGATATCTCTTGATTACACATTTGTAGCACCTAAAATTACATTGAAGATCTCTGTAGTGAATTGGGACGAGATGACGGCGAAGAATGTTTATGATCTGCAACGTGCTCTTCTAGGAAGGTACCCGTTAAAAACCAAGTTTGATGGCACGAATATAAAATTGTTGGATGTCCGGCCGACGTCGAAGTCGGTAGATGAAAAAAATGCGGATGTGCCAGGTAATTAATCGTTATTCCTGCATGATTCGCTGTGATACTGAGTTAGTATCGAGGATTGAAAACGGTCTATTCCTAGGGAGAAAATTAATTATCTGAAAATGTAATTATTGCATATTTGAAAATAAAATGTGCGTGATTAACGTGAAAAGCCTCTTCCAGGTCGTGTGACATTTGATCGGGAGAACAAAGTGTTAGTTGTGACATGTAAAGGACCAAGTTGGATTTCAGTATCGAAAGTAATTGTGGAAAGTCATTCAGCTATGAGTGCGACGTCCTTTGCAAACGGATATTTACGAGGTAGAAAGAAAGATTGGATATTATTTCAGAGTAATGTTACATAATCTACAGCGCTGCTTCTGACTCCAACGCTGGTCTTTTGTAAATCTATGACAATTTCATTTAGAAATAGATCATGAACATAAAATTTTTATTGACTACAATAGTATTTAACTTAGAATGTACAAAATGTAATATTGACGCAGCGACTATTGCAATAAAAAAAATTACAGATTATATATATCAATGTTTCTTTAAATGTTCGATACGAGAAATTGCTTTTTGCTCTAATCTTGTAATTTAAAATAGTATCATTCTTGTCTCATGCGAAAATATTCTTTTGTATATTCTTTTTGTTCCTTGCTATAAAATTTATTTAATATATCTCTTTGCGTAGATCTGTTATATAAAACTACAAAGCGTTAAGAAAAAATCAGTGAAAGAAATGACAAGAAATAAGTAGCGCGAACTATACTAAGATTCAAATGAATCAGTTTTAAGTGGAATTTGTAGATTCTCATAGAATTCGGTTTTTCTTTAAATTACAGCAAAGTTTCTCTCTTGTGATTTCGTATCTTACAAAAAAACAGAATAACACTGAAGGCCTTATTTATATAAACGTAGAATTGGAGCTGCAGATAGAAAATTGTTGATATTAAGTCTCAGTTTCAGAGGCCTGAAATAAAAGAAATATTTTTGCTATAAAAAAATCACTTTCTTTTATTACATTTAGTGTGCCAATGATATATATCCACATTGACAATATTAAGCGGAAGACACAAAATGGAGTTCAGAATGCTTCAAGACATTATTCTAGTTTGCTGTACACCACAAAATAAAAATAAATATAATAATTTAATTTCCATTAGACAAGAAATTTTTCTGTTCCTATTCCCCTGCAATATCAATTTTTGCAATTTTCGCAATACAACGTATCTATCTTTTCTATTTGATTTACCTTGTGAAACCAGCTCAATCAAGTTATTCATGTACATTTCAGATTAAGGTACTTAATATTTTGTCAGATTTAGTTTTATTGTCTCTATTAATTCGATGTATGTATATGTAATCATCTTAATTTATTGTTCGTTCATATGATGGATAGAAAAAGATAAAGGAGTTATTATCTAAAAAATAGTTTCTTTTACACTGTACTGCTGTCTAGTAAAAATTTCTACATATATATGCATATGTAAGCAAAATAGAAAGTACATTAATCCAATATTCAAAAATATTGATGTCTATGAACAGTAAAAATTTATGAACTTACACTAGGATCGCAGTCGGCACAGTGCCATGAATAGCCTCTCCTTTTCGGAGACTTTTTCACAGGAGGATCTAAGCATGTAAAGTGATAGCATTTCTTACATTCGTCACACCTAAAACAGATATTAAATGCATAACAATAAAGAATCATTATAATGACCTTTCTTAATTAGTTTTTGTGCAGTGCCTATTATTTTAAGATTTCAGTTATCAGTTGTTGTAATTTTTAATACTAACATAACGAGATTTTGGTTGGTGCCGGGAGAATCACAGACGTTACACTGCGTCATAAGGTCCGTATCTTTCCCTCTCTTCGTTCCCGTCGACAGTCGACCACTGCTATTCATGGATACATTCATCGGGGACACGTTTGCAGCCGGAGGTGGCACAGGCGGTGGTGGCAATGTAATCTCAGTGCTCGAAGTGGCCACAAACATTTGCGGGCTCGATTCCGAATCTGTATGTCCCTCCGGTCGACGAATCGGTTTTATCTGCATTCGATTAATTAACGTTATTAATATTCGAATCGACGATAAAATAAATGATAAAATAAAGTAGAAAAATATTAAATACTTTTATTGTAATCCTTCTATGAACCTCTGGTTGACTTTGAACTTCTGGATTTTCGACATCTAAACTTTTTCTTTTATGCTTCCTTTTCCTCTGTTTGATCCCAGTTATCGGATCCGGAGAATATCTCTTATGCTTTTCTCTAAAACAAAATATTAAAAGCATTAAAAGATTTACTACTGACTTCTATACAAATATGATGAGCATATAAATTATTTCGCACACACCTTCTTCTTTTTTTGCCACTTCTTTGTGAGACCACTTCCGTTCCATCCGCTGAAGCTACCATATATTCCGGTGAACCTTCTCTTACGGTGATATTATTAACAGATTGTTGATTGTACACCGACTCAGATACTTGCGTAGGTTCTACGGTTGACGGTTGCGGCCCCATTGGTTTAATAGTTAGCTGTGAAAGTATATTCGTTTATTCATATACTAACGTCGCCAAACGAAATCTTTTCTTCATCTGTAAAATGAGTACCTTTGGTGTCGTATGCGTATCAGGAGCAGTAACGTTTGTTACATTACTGGCAGGATTTTTCGATGTGGTAGGCGTACTTGCTGCCATAGCTGCTTGCACTTCCTGTGGCGGTGTAGGCGTCGAGTTGGTCTCATCCTTACAATGTCTTAATTTACGTGGTGCTGATGTGTCCACACGCTCGACTTCCGATCCCGAGGACTCCTTGTCGCACTCGGAACATTGCCTGTAAATTATATTAAAAAAAAAATTCAACAAAAGTGAAATGCCACGGCATACGCATTTTTCTTACATACCAGCCCATCTGTCTCGTTTTCTTCGGCATTCGTGTTAAGGGCGGACTCAAGCAAGATAGGTGATAGTGCAAATGGCACGTGTCGCACTTGGCGAGGAGATGTTGATTGGTCGATCGTCTGCAGATGCCGCACTGATGCCGCAAGGTCGTCAGCTCGTTTTTATGATTTTGTTCTTGCGCCTGGCTACTCAACACTCTACCCTCGCGTATACCTTCGACGCCTTTGCCCACGGGGAGTGGAAATCCAACACCCATCTTCAAGGCGGCTGCCGTAGGCACGCCTAATCCCGTACCTGTAAAAAACGATTTATGTAGGCGGTATATTAAAAAATTCCGGCGTCACGTCTTACCGAGCGTGGGTGCTATTCTTGGCTTCACCAGATCGGCGATCGACGGCAGAGGCTTCACGAAACCGGCGCTTTTAAGTACTTGATGATACAACTCAATCTTCTCTTTCAACGTCACGTTTACTCGAATCTGCTCCTCATTGTCCTTCATCACTTCGTCGTACTTTCTGTCCAATCTCTGTTGCTCGTTCAGTAACTGCGAGTTGATATCGAGAAGTTCTTGCAGCCGCCTCTTCATTGACGTCACGCGTAAATTCCGATCCAAATAATAGCCGATAAATTCTACGCTAAAAGCGGGAGCGATATGCCACTTTTTCCTAACGTCGACTAACGCCACCAGCTGGGACTCTTGTGCCTCTAGCGCAGCCGTATCCACGCCCATTAATTCGGCCTTTCTTGCCAATTGACGGCAAGCGGAAGCGGATGTAGTTAATAAACGTGGCATCTTCTGTGTCGGCACTACAATTAATACATATTTAGACATGTGCCTAAGAATGTACAATATTCGAGAGAACATCTCAACGTACCCCACGGCGGCGGACGCGACGCCTTGTGAGCTAAATACTTGTGCCTGTGCTTGGCCAACTTCCTCTGAATCCTACGCTGCTCGTCCGTGTCCAGATGATTAGGTTGCTTCAACATCTGTTGTCGGTACTGCGCACGCATCTGCAAAGCCAGCCAATTGCGCCTACGTCTACGAACGAGAGATTTATCCGAGTGCAATTTGCAGTGTGCATAGAACGGATCAGCTTGATCGACCTCCTCGCTGTGCGCTTCGGACAGTAAACCCTCTCTTTGCGCGCTGCAACAATCATGCCTCGTGTATTATATCCGCAGCACAAACTCTGATAATAATATTCAGATGTAATCTCAATCCAAGTATTACCAGGTTACGTGAAAATACGTATGACACATCCCGGCATCGCATTCGATACACACGCCTGTGCGTGCGTAACACGAGTCCTCGCATAGAGAACATGTCTTCGCGCCCCACTTACTGTACGCCATTTCGAACAGTGTCACGCTCGACAAACGGTCGACCTGTAAAATACATAAATTAAATTAATCTCAAGACATAAAATTACGCGGGAATACACAGCACGAGATTCACTTGCCTCGCCAAAGGCAACGCCGGGCACGTAGAGAGCACACACTAGGTGAACCCATTTTCCGACGTCTGTCTCCTTGAAAATGCCGCCCTTGTTGGGACAGAGCTCGCACGACGGATCCTCGATTCCCGCGCTGCAAGCCTCGCAGAACCACGGTGCCGATTGGCACAACGAGTCGGTGCTGGAGAAACTCTCCACGTCGGAGACACCGTAACAGCCTAAAATTTTATTTTCACATGCAAAACGTGCGCGCGGCAATCCTCGAGAGATAAATGCGCCATTAATTTCAAACTAATAAACCACCTTCGTGAACGCTGACTCCGCAGCCGTCGCACTCGACGATCTCATTTATATCGTCGCTCCTGTCTCCCAGGCAACCGCAGCAAATCAGCACCTTGCTCAGTTTGTCGTCGAGAGGGGCGCCCTTTAGTGCCTGCTGGCGAGCTTGTTCGATCACGTCTCCTATAGTTAAGCTGATGCCGTCTTTTCCTCTCAACAGCGGGTCCTCCAACGAATCGTCGGATTCTTCGGATGCATCTTCTTCTGCAAGTAAAATATATCTTAAACAGCTTCCGGATCGCCGCAAATGGGCTTCTTCCTTTCCTTATATATCCTTTTTATATTTACAACCAAACTTCCACAATCATATTTTGTGATATACGCGTCACATTGTCAGCGCAGTGCCTTTTTGTATTACTCTCTTCTAATGCCGTATCAAAATAGTATGACTTTGATCTTGGTTTATAGCTGCTTATTTATTGCAGCCAACCGAATTCGCTATAACATAGTTCTCTGAGTGAAGTCCAGAGATGGATGTCAAACTCCTGTGCTCTTTAGTTTAATATCAGTGACGTAATATTGTAAATTTTCGAGAAGAATTTTACTCCGTTTGTAGTGACTTGCGTTGACTTGGTTTTGTGGTCAACATACTTTTGAGTCGCGACGTCCTGTAATCAAACTTGTAGATTGTTCAAATCATTGAGAAGGACCACAACCCGTATGGTCGAAACGTCGGATTTAACTAAAGAAACCACCTGCCTAAAGTCGTCTAACAATTCTTTCTAATCAACTACTGGCGATTCGCGTTGTTTCGTTGTTAAAAACACCACGTAAAGCAACTTGGCAGTCGCAGCGTCAACAGCACCAAGCTCACCTTTCCCATCGTTAGAATCCACGGAATCGTCGTCCGACTCTTCGCAGTGATCCTCGATCCTGAAGTCACTGTCGTCCGAGCTCTCGCCGAGGTCGAAGTCGAGCAGCGACTGATGCGCCGATTCCACCGGCTTCACCCTCCTCTTTTTCGGGTCTCGCTCAACTGAAAACGGGCAAACTCCAGTCACACCTCCGGAACGCAACGTTCCACGCGCGAGAACGAAACGCGGAAACGGTCGACGGACGGTGTCGCGCGGGCGGCCGCGTCGACGCGACATCCCCGCGCGAGAAGCTAAATACAGCGCGAGCCAGGTTCTAGGTTATGGCCGTTCAACTTCGCCGTACGTACATGTGCTGGACATGATGCCGTCGGGGCTCGGGACGCTCCTTCGGCGCACGACCGGTCGCGGGTCCTCGTCGCGGTTTCTCGTCAGATACGACCGACGTGTCGACGCCGCTGCATCTCTTTCCCCCGGGAGTCTCCGTATCCCCCCCGTCGAGCAACGCTACCCGCAAAACGCACGTACACGCACGTACGTTGTACAAATACGCTCGCGCGCGCGCGCGCGCGTACACGCACCGCCGATAATGCGTTAGGTTAATTTGCGTGTCGGCAAATGAGGTTGGCGCAATAATAAAGTAATTGATTATGGTTATTATCGCGCACTCACAAAGGGCACGCCGGGCTTGTTATCGTCATAATGCCGAAACATTTAATAATGCATCAATTGCAATAATAATAATAATAGAAACAAACGCGCGCGCGCGCGCGCATCGCAAACACAGGCGCCTCAAAAATGGACATTGATAAACTTGTAGGACATGTAATTGGCTGCAGCGCATTTAGCATTAATCAAATAATACAACTAATGTTGTTCATAATGTTTGCTTAATAACTTGAGCGATAATTCGACAATGCCACGGCAGTTGTAACATCATTCGGCGACACGGGTTGGGACGGGGGGGGGGGGAGGAATAGAATAGGTGCATCACGCAAGAGATGTTAAACGGACGGAATATGACGGGGATACGCGTGTACAGCGCTCGCGTAAAAATATGAAACGAGCGAACAATCCGCGTCAACGACTTGGCGTATTTACTTGACGTTTCGACGAGTGCCCAGATGTTCCGCGCGAGCGAACAACCCTTTAGGTTCACCCCGGATCACGTCGCTCTCCGAGGGCGAGTCTCGTTAACCGTAGTTCAGGCCTCCCGATCTTTCTCCGTCCTGTTATCCAAGAGGAGCCCCGGGGAGTCAATTAATCTTTCGGTCAGCCGTTAATCGACGCTCGTGGGACCGGCCGTTAATCGACAGCTCTCGAATTTCTCTCGGTCCCCGATCGTCGGGGACCCCGGAGTGTGTCTACGCGAGCGCGGGAACGACCGCAGCGCGACTTACTCATGGTCTTGTAGAGGAATCCGACGTCGTCGTCCTGAGACATCTCCCCGCCGTGGTGGGCCACCGGGACGCGAAACGTAGACGCGGCTACCTTCACCTCGGACGAGGGTCTCGGGGGGCCGTCCGCACCGCCGCCTCCCGGGGATTCACCGCCGCGAGAGAGCGGGTCGTGGGCTCGCGGGGACGCGTCGAGCGGAGAGGTGCGATTGTCTTATCGCCCCGGCGTCGATGATCCTGACCGCAACGGCGGCGTCCGTGCACCCGACGACGCACGCGGCGCCGACGCGCCATGATGCAGCTTTGCGCGAGTCCTTTCGCGGGAAGTTCAAACTTGCCGGCCGCGCGAACCTTCGCGCGGCTCCGAGCTCTCGTCACCGCCGTCGATCTGCGAAAGAACTGCGGGTTTAGAACGGAATTATCATTGCACGAGATGTGGCTTACACCCGTAAGACACACCTCGATTTTCATCCTTCTCATTGATGATCTCATTAAAGATTGATAACTGATATGCAACTGATATAAACCTACTGGATTTCTTTCCATACGAATTTTGTATTGATTTATTCAATTGTTTGTTCGATTAAA